TTCTGCATTTGATGCGGTTCTGGCCTGCTCCAACTTTTTCTAAAAGTACTTGTCCTCAAGCTGTCGGGCAGCCTCCTGGAACAGGTCAAAGTTATCCTTCACACCATCCTTCCGGAGTAGATTCTCAGCAAGGTGCCGAGTACACCAACGATGGTGTAAAGGTGCATACCCCTCTATCCGCTCTCGCACGACATTAAGTATGCCCTAGTGCCTATTAGATATGACACCAACCTCCCTGCCAGGCTCAACCAAATGTATCCGGACTAGCCTCAAGAACCATCCCCAACTGTCATTGTTCTCCTTCTCAACCAAAGCAAATGCCAAAGGAACCAACTTGTTGTTCGCGTCATAGGATATGGCTATAAGAAGTGTGCCCTGGTATTTGCCAATCAAGAAGGTACCATCAGCCCTGGTATTTGCCAATCAAGAAGGTACCATCAATAGAGAAGACGGGACGACAGTGCCTAAAGGTCTCGACACACTGAGGGAAGCACCAGAAAGCATGGAAGAATATATGCCTCCCATCCTTCCATGCATTTGGTTTTGGGATATACTCATAATGCATGCCTGGATTCACCGCTTTGATTGCATTATAAAGTACTGGCAGCTGCTCCTACCCATCCTCCCAGTCCCCATATATCATCTTCCATGCTCGCTGCTTACCCCTGCAAGCTTTACCATAAGTTATCACATAACCTCCATACAACGCCTCAACGGTCCTGATAATTGTCCGAACCTTCATGTTGGGTTCTCCCTACAATATTCCCATCAACCGCTTGGCAATGAGGGTAGATGTCAACTGCCGATGCTTCAGTGTTAGCTCATGGTCAGCACAATTGTGTGGCCCGACAACTTTTGTGATCTTCCACTTTTCGGTGACCTTTTGCTTCCTTGCACAAACCCTCCATGGGCAGCGTTCCTTGTCACACACAACTATGTAACGGCACTCCACATATGAATGCAAGACCTTGTAAGGTCTCTTTCGTATCACTACAAACGCCTACAACCACCTCTTCAATGCAGAGAGGTCATTGAATACCCTCCCATTCTCAATTACCATGTTAGGACCAGCCTCAGGAGCTTCTAGGGGCTCATCATCACGTCCTTCTGCACACGCCTGATCGAAATGAGCAAGATCGCTGAACTCGTGAACTCTTGGATCATGGCGTCCAAGAAAGATACGCCTCAGCATCTCAACATCACTCTCTGTCAGCTCTCCAACAGGGCGATCATCATCAGAATCAAGAGCCCTTACCATCTCATATGGCTCCGAATTATTCATAATTTCAACACTATTGGAGCCATGAAATCCATCTCCACAGTGCACTTGCGCAGCAACAGGGGGCACATCCACATTGTCAGGAATGTCTCTTGCAACATAAGTAGAGAAATGAGGAAAGAATAAAAGAAATGGATGTAAGAAAGGGGGTAAGCTCCCAATAACTATGTGGATAAGACACTTACTCGGATGATTCTGTGTCAAAGGAATCTCATGAGGAGGATCTGCCACAACAATATGAGTCTGACAAGCATCTCCAACTACCTCATTGGGGGCAGATTGAGCATCGGGAACCATAGGTGCAACCTCCACATCCATATCAGGTTCTGGGACGGGAGGGTCAAAGTGTTCCTGTTGACCCATTAGTGGGGAAAACCCATGAGGGATGGGATCAACTAACACTCGACGCACAACCATGTCGAAACATTGCAGCTGGCTCTTCATAGCCGATCTCACATAGTTCTCCCATTGATCCGCACATCCAATTGGGATCATTCGCCTGAAGATGTTGGGAGGAGAACCTAGGTGCAGTACACACTCAACTGCAATGCCATCATCATCATCTCCAAGGCAATGCAGCTCCTCCCGAGCCCTTGCAACCATCTCACTAAATGAAGGCCTATCATTGAATAGCACAGGCACGCTTTGCATGTCAACAAACTCAATATATCCATAGCGATCGCTTTCAATGGTGACTCCATGATAAATGGTCACTAGGTTGTCCATCTATTTCAAACACGTAACGAAACACATGTCCTTTAGTCCAAATTAGACGATAGATAGTACCTAACAAGTACTCCCTCCGGTTCTCTAAAGCAAGTCATTTTGGACATCGACACGGTCCTTAAGAAACAACTTTGACTGCAACTTTTTGCTATAAAATATCTATAAAATATAGTCAATATATATTTTTATGAAACTACATTTCGAGATGAATCTACTTACATCATTTTTATATTTTCAAACTCAACCCAAAAGAAGTTATTTGTAATCAAAGTTTAAAATGTTTGACTTAAGACAACCTCAAAACGACTTGCTTTATAGAACCGGAGGGAGTACTTTCTAACTACAAACTAAGTAAATAAGATAATAACTACATATATAGATACAGTGTACTCACTAAATAGCTAGATCCTATTTAGTTAACTAAATATATAACTATCTATCTAAGTAGCTATCTAACTATATCTATGTACCTATGTATCTATGATTCTATCTATTTACATATCTATCTCACTAGATCACTAACTAAATCAACTACCTGAGTCATCACATTAACTAGTAAATAACAAATGCCAAAACTACTACACTACAATTAAAGCTAACTAAGTACGCACATTGCAAATTCATAATTTTTACCTGTCCGACGACGGAGTCACGGACGTCGACGAAGTCGCAACGGATGATGGACGTGGGTCAAGCCGACGAGCCGAGCCGGCGGTGGCACGGCAAGGCGCGCAGTGCCGGGCGCTGGATGCCCGGCGCGCGCGCAGCGGCGCGAGCTTTGGACGGCGGGCGCGTGGCGAGGCAGCGGCGGTGGCGGGAGGCACGGCGGCAAGACAAGGGGCGGCGGCGGCAGCACGGGCGGCACTGGCTGGCAGGCAGTGCGGCCACGACACGGTCACAGCACGGTCACGGCGCGGGCGGGGCGTGGCCAAGGCGGGCGCGGGCGCGGGGTCCGGCGCAGGCACGGGGCGCGGTGGTGGCGCGGGCGAGGGCGGCCGGGGGCGGGAGAGGGCGCGGGCGGCGGCGGCAGGGCGCTGCTCGGGCGAGGTGAAGGAGGAGAGAGAGAGAGGAGAGGAAGAGAGAAAGGATTGGGGCCCATATGTAAGACAGGCTTGGCGCCAGTAACCCTAGCGGCGCCGAGCTCGGCGCCAGGGTTACTGGCGCCGAGGTGCCTGCCAAATCACCGCCACGTCTGCTTCGAGCCCAAGAGCGCCGAGACGTGTAAGCTCGGCGCCAACAACGATGGCGTCGAGCTAAGGGGCCAGATTTTGAAATCTTACGTCCAGATGCATATTTGTGAATTTTTTTGAAAAAGGGGCTAAAAAATAAAAAATTCGGACCCACACACTGCAAAGGCCTTGTTTCTCCTGTCAGTAAAAATTCCTCCCTGTCCTCTGTCGCCATGTAGTCATGCTGTTATTGACAAGGCATGGATGGCAGGGACAGCTCGGTGATAATTCGGCAAAGCCCAAGGTACAAATTGTAAAAAGGGAGCGATGAGGGCAAAGGCAAAGGCAAACTCTCTGCAAAAGAAAAGAAAAAGAAAATACACACTCTACTACTACCACTATATTCACTTTCTCCATTTCTTCCCTTTTCCTCCTCTTCTCTCTTCTTCTCTCTCTTGCGTCCATCCTCTTTCATCTGGTTGGGTGGAGTGGAGATAAGCTAGAGAGGTGAGGGTGGGCTGAGCTGTGGGATCGGAGCGAGCAATAAATAGAAATTAAGGTCCGGGCCGCCTCCATGGCGGCGTTTGCAGGCGCCCTCGAATTCCTCCCCTGAACCCACTCCCCCTAGCTCTCTCTTCTCACATCTCTTCTTCCTTCGCCTCTTTATATAGCCTCCCACCTCATCTGCTCATCACCCCCAAAAAGCAGCTTGCTTGCGTTCTCTACCACACTACTCACTCGGCAACTAACCTCACCTCCCTCCTCCTCCAGATACTACTTGTGCTTAGACCCCAATTTGCAAGCAGGCCAGGAGAGGAAAGGAATTAGGACAAGAAGAGGAGGCTGATTAGAGGCGAGCTTCCTATTTTCAGCAAAGGCAAGGTGAGTAGCACTGATGAGTTGGGTGTAGAGTGGTGATGGAGCACTGCAGCTAAAGGTTTATCTTTCTCCTCTCTCGCTCACTCGCACATGCATATCCCACTCATCAGCACTTCAGCAGCAAGGCTATTCATCCTCATCCTCATCTCCTACGCTTAGCTTGCTTGCACAAATCTCTCTCTATGTCTAGGAGCTTCTCGCTGCAGATCTACCGCCGATTCATCCGCTACTGAGCTATGCAAATCTATATATGCAGCTCATGCATCTAACCTACTTGCCTTCACACAACCCAACCCCATTCCTGCTGCTGCTGCTGCTGTGCCGCCGCCGTCGTCTCACACCTTCTGCTTCTGCGCCTGCTTTTTATTCTTACTCCCAAGATCTCTATTTGGTTTTTTTGCTGTAGGAGCTAGCTGCTAGGAGGGAGAGAGAAAGAGGGATCGGAGGAGGAGCTGCAAAGGCTAGCTTCTTTGGTGGTGGTGGACTGGTGGTGCATACACTCTCCCTCTCGCTCGTCTTGATGGTGGGTGGTGGTGGCTGCTGCCTCGCATGGCTGGGTTCTCTCTGAGGGGCGGCGGCGGCGGCGGAGGCGGGAGGGGAGGGGACCGGGGCGGCGATCACCCGATCGGCGCCGACAGCCTGTTCCTGTACGCGCGCGGGGCAGCCGCCGCGGCCGCCGACACGGCGGCCAGCGGCGGCGGCGGGGGCGGCGGGATAGGGTTCCAGCTCTGGCACCCGCGCAGCAGGCAGGCGGCGGCGGCCGCCGCCGCCGCCCGCACACGTCGCAGTTCTTCTCCTCCGGCGCCGTGGCCACGGGCGTCGTGCTCGGCTTCTCCTCGCATGACGGGGGCGCCGGAGGGATCGGCGGCGCGGGCGGCGCCGGGGGCGGCAGGGCCGGCACCAGCTGCCAGGACTGCGGCAACAACGCCAAGAAGGACTGCACCCACATGCGCTGCCGCACCTGCTGCCGGAGCCGCGGCTTCAGCTGCCCCACGCACGTCAAGAGCACATGGGTCCCCGCCGCCAAGCGCCGGGAGCGCCAGCAGCAGCTCGCCGCGCTCTTCCGCGGCGCCGCCAACAGCAACAGCGCCAGCGCCGCCGCTGCCGCTGCGGCCGCGAGCAGGCGCCCGCGCGAGCTCGTCCGCTCCCTTGGCCGCTTGCCGTCCGCCAACTCCGCCATGGTCACCACGACAACCTCCTCAGGTAGTCCTCGCTTGCACGGCACACTCCACCACTGACTACACTGTCGTCACACTGTTGCGGCGGACGGCATGACATGGCATAGCGCGTTGTTTAATTATACAATATATATAAGTATCTAACCAAATGGTGATCTTGCTCTTGATGCGGTTACAGGCGACGGCGGCGGCGGGAGGTTCCCGCCGGAGCTGAGCGTGGAGGCGGTGTTCCGCTGCGTGCGGATCGGGCCGGTGGACGAGCCAGACGCGGAGCTTGCGTACCAGACGGCGGTGAGCATCGGCGGGCACACTTTCAAGGGGATCCTGCGTGACCACGGGCCGGCGGACGACGCGGCGGTGGGGCACCTGCCGCCGTCCTCGGCGGAGTACCACCAGCTGACGGCGGGGCAAGCGAGGGAAGGGTCGTCGCCGGCGGGGAGCAGCGAGGCGGCGGCGACGGTGGCGACGTCAGCGGCGGTGCTGATGGACCCGTACCCGACGCCGATCGGCGCCTTCGCCGCAGGCACCCAGTTCTTCCCTCATAACCCTAGAACCTAGCTTAAATTAGCTAGCTTTGCTGCTTCCATTATTCCTATCGATCCTAGTAGCTTAATTCCTTGATGGTTTCATTTACTTCTTCCAACAAATCAAAGATGATGATGAGCATGAGCTAAGTCATCGTCATCGTCGTCATCGTGATCAGCAAACAAATTCGAGACAAGAAGAGAAGAGATTTTAATTGTTACGTACTACTACTATTACTACCCGCATTTGAGTCGTTGATCGATGAACACTAATGCATGATCAATGGAGCATATATAATGTTGTTAGCTAGAGCTAGTGTACTGCTACTTGTTGGGCAATCTTATTTCGAGTTCATTATTAATTGACCACCTTAATGCAAAGCAAAGACAAGAATTTTAAGTGTAGCTTCCCTCTTCTTCAATTCATTATATTCCTCATTCCACAAATGATGGGAGCTCCATTTGACATGCAGTAGTCCAGCACGTGATTAGTTAGTGCTAGCTACTGTGTGTTGTCTAGCTAGTTTATTTATAAGCTAATATAATCCAATCCTCCCATGAGTAGTGTATGTATATATAGTAAGTAGCTCGTACTACGTTAGATCACACACAGTGGGATTGCTTGCACTAATCTCCTTTTGTTTACATGCATGGGGGAAGAAGCTTCTCCCTCTCTGGATTTGGCTTGTGTAAAGCTGGGCGTTTCTTGCATTGGTGCTTTTTATATGATTTGTTGCATGTTTTGGGCTCTATCGATGCATGCTGTTTTAGTTTGTTCCAGTTTGGTTCTTTTGAAGCAACTTGCTGTTCTGCCTTGGGATGGATGAGCAATCAGCTTGTGCTGCTTGCTCCAGAGTCCAGAACACGGGAAAGTACAGCAGTATTTCTATGCATTTTTTTGCAGGGATTGATGTGGCTTTTGGATTAGTTCCTTTGGCTAATCTCGACAATGCTAGCTAGCTGCCTTGTAACATCTTGGCCTCTCTCTCTCTCTCCTCCATTTCTCTCTCTCTAGAGTACATAGTGACCTTGTCACACCACAGTTCCTCTTTTCCTAGGGGTACTATTTTCAATATTCGTTTGTGAAGTGACGTAGATCAATGTTGCAATTCTTTAACAATAAAAAGGGAAATCCACCTTATACCAACCAATACCAGTCACATGGAATGATGGAAGAATGTCAACAATGTACATGATTTGTCGTCTAAAGAAACAATGCACAGTACATGGTTTACTCTAAAAAAGCTGTAGGGCACATCCAATTAAGGCTACATATATAAGCATGCATCAGTCTCTGAGTCCACAGCCATTCTTCTCACCCATAAACTTTGAACAAAACAAACAAAAGGAGCACCTACTTCATACACTTTGGTATGTGATCTCTTGTCCTAGCTTCACCACACGCTCTCTGTAAAATTTGATAGCTCGGCCGGCCTACAGTCCGGCTATACATGTAGAGTGGTACAGTGTGTACTGTCCTTGTGCTATACTATACATCTAGCTAGCTGTCGTAGCGCCTCATCTCTGCTTTGCTTCTTCCTTTTCACCTTCTCACTTACAATTTTATATATATATATATATATATATATATATATATATATATATATATATATATATATTTCCTCTTATTTCAAGAAAACCTCGTAGCTTTTACATCTGTACGGATGTCGTTGTTGTTTCTTGGACACCAGCAGGATTATTGGTAAATCAGGACTAGATTCAAAAGTTCGTGCATGCATGCTCCGCCTGTGTGTGCATTAATTTGATTGCCTCTCTCAGTCATATACACACACATTATCTACATTATATTGATCAAAATGGTTACATTTGGATTAAGGCCGGTTTCATATGTGCGTGTTGTATATCCAAAGCTTTGCCTAGTTACAAGTATAATAGTTTTGTTTCATGTTTGTTCTAGCTTCCTATATATTTTCTCCGTAATAAGTTCACCTAGTGATCTATTTAATTTGTACTCATCATGCATATACATGGCATAAATTCTAGTGAATGGTTCTTACGAAGAAGCACAATACATATATAAGATGACCTTCAGAGCATATATATATAGACCTGTAAAAGTTATTTCAATTAGTTAGTTGGGAATAGTTAGAATTGGAGATACATAAACTGATACTGGGTATAGTAGTATAGTGTGTAGCTAGCCTCGCTCCCGTACATGCACAAATCTAAGTAGGAGTGCTTCAAATTTTATCATTTATACACCATTTTGAAGTGTTTTTGGGTTAATGAGAATTCACATCATGCTTCAGACACTCAATGGGGAACAAATGTTTATATGTGTATATGCCTATTTTTTCACCAAGTTAGAATAAGTAGGAATTTTAAATTCTAGAGCCAAAGTGTCCATAAACAACTCAATTCTGCCGTGCATTTTAATAATGGCAGTACAATCTTTCATGTATCACTAGTAGAGAAACGACTTTTGATCCACTTCGAAATTTGGCTTTAGTCCCGGTTTTTCGCGTCCGGGACTAGAGAAACCTTTAGTCCCGGTTGGTAGCTCTAACCGGGACTAAAGGTCCCTGCCCAACGGTTACCAAGGTGTGTCAGAGGCACGTCAATGTGAGAATCTTTAGTCTCGGTTTGAGACATGAACCCGGACTAAAAGTGTGACTTTTAGTCCCGGTTTGAGACACGAACCTGGACTAAAGATACCTTTAGTCCCGGTTTATGTCTCAAACTGAATTTAAAAGGAAAGCGTATCTTATCTAAGTTAGATGTGTGGTGGTAGGTGAGATGGTAACACGTGCAAGAGCTTAAGTGGGAGGTCGTAGGTTTGAATCTCCATAGCTGCAACTTTTTTTTTACCCAATAAACACCTCTACTCCCGGTTGGAGGAACCGGGACTAAAAATCAAGACATTTAGTCCCGATTGCATAGTCCCGGTTCCAAAACCAGGATTAAAGGGGGTGAGAACCGGGACTACAGCTAGGTTCTCTACTAGTGTATATATGGCTTACAGTATAAAATTTTCTGCAGTATATGATGTCTACAAACTAAATTGAGAAACGTATATAGATGCGCACTATTTTTTATTTTTTCTATCTTCTACCGGTTTGGGCGGAAGTTTTAGAAACATTAACTACTCTAGATAATTCACGGCAAGAAGCATTGGCGCACTGGCTACAATGGAGGGTTCAAAACCTAAAATACAGTAATATAGCATAGATACTTAGACTAGATTTGGCTGATTTCCTGTTAAGCATAATATATATAGAGTAAATTAAATTGCGGTGTATTATGTCCTCCTGCTGGAAAAGGAAGAAGAAGGATCAACAAGCATGAACTATTATTGTGTATATATATGTGGTTACTAGTCCTCTATGAATTCTAGGATGCGAAACATCCTTAGCGGTAGATTGAGATTGCAAGACTTGTTTTTTTCTTCTATCTTAGAAGGAGACCAACAATATAACGTCCTCAAATTGAATAAGAGTATAAATAACTGAGAAAACTATAATATAACGCCCTCAAACTAGATTCTTACATGCATGGTGTTCTAGCTATTCCAAAACTATACATTTCTCATATATGTATGAGCCTGTTTGGGACTGCTCCACAAACTCTGTTCTACAAACTCTACCATGGAGTAGCTTCACAAAACTGAGTTTCTAGAGCACCTTTTTAGGTGCTCTCACAACTCCATTTTTTTCCTAGGGTGAAGTTACATTTGTTTGGCTAGAAAACATGAAGTGGAGCTGAAAAAATGTGGGGCGGAGCGGTCTTAAACTAGCCCTATATATAGCACATAAGTTTAGTATTAATTTGCTAAATGATCAAGCTGTAGATTAATTAGACAGTATTATTGTAAGAAGATTATCTTAACAACTCTCAATAATAAGTCCCTTGACGCCTTGCCGGCAATTGTATTGTACTGTGTTAGTCGTCGCTCAAGCTGATCTTGCTGGGATTAATTTGTGAAAAGGACGTAACACATACATTTCATTATATATCTCCTAGCTAGTTTGATTGATGATCGATGTAACGTATGCACAGTACGTTCGTCGTCGTCTTCTTCTTCTTCTTTTTGTGGCATGCATGCATGTGCGGATTACTTGTCTATTCGTTGTCTAGGTAGCTAAACATGCATACTTCAGCCGGTCCTAGATGAAAAGAAGCTACATATACGTGCATCCTTATTATTGTTTTATGTACTACTTCAGCCGGTAGTAAATACAAGTGTTTTTTATTTGAGTTCCTGCCAATCAAAGACTTTTCAACTCTTATTACTTTATTAAAATAAATATAATATTGCCTGGTAAGAATAATGCTAATAGGTTCATGCATCATGAAAAATACTTTCATAACATATAAATCCTCTAATAAATGCATGTTTTCAAACTAGATACAGGTAAATTAAGTTTCGTCTTGTAGCCTTCGTTGATATGCTAAATTGAGAATAGCCAAACTAATTAGATTATTCAGACGGGGTTTTCTTTAAATTTGCCAGGTTAATGAGTTTTTATTGAGTTACATCTTGGATAAATTATTGGATCGGTCGGATCATATTAATAAGATGAGATAGTGCAAGAAGTTTGAAACTTGTCCTAATATTAATATATTACTGAGTAAATAATCCACATGTAAAAATAGAGCAAAAATTTCTAGAATCTAAGAGGCACCACAAAATTTTTAAAATCAGAAAGTTTGGGGGAAGGAAAGAAAAAATCATATAAATCGGTCCAATGGTTGGCTTGTTCGAGAAAAATTCAATGATTAGCTGAAAATAGGGAATAACCACGTCGATTATCTTGGTGAGTTATATTAATTGAAGCAGTGAAGAGTATCGAATACAATTCAAGTAATTCAACTGCATTTTCAAGTAAAAAATGCCAGTGATAAAATATATTCAGGTGATTAAATAAACAAAATACAGGATAACTAACTTACAAAAAAAAGCAAAACTAAATTTGTGCAAATGGAGACTCCACTTAGGTTCGATACTGTACATGTATGTATCATCTTGATTTAAACCTCCCAAGGACACTATTCTTCCTTTCTTTCTGTGGTAGT